TTATCCACAAATTTTTGGATGTCTCGGGCCAGTCCCTTGGAGTAAGGTATTCTATAGCGCCAACTATACAGGAACCAAATCTTTATGATCCTTGGAGATGCCTCCATGACTCGGAGAAAGATTTCACATATTACTCAGCTCCGCATGAGTCTTACTCTAGGATTATATTTTAACGGATATACACCTTCTGCAACATGTTACTAAAGCAACAATCCATCCCGTGACATGGTCAGATCATGAGCCTCTCTCTTAGTATTGAGGAGTCATTGCGATTTTCACCAGTATGCCTGTGGCGTAACGACACCTCTATGTTCACTAACTCTAATACTCGCACATACATTTCTAAATCTTTGCAGCAATATTTTGATATCAATGCCTCTTCAGATGCGGATGTCTTTAATATTTGGTGTGCACATAAGGTTTGCTGCAGAATACTAACATCGACACAATTCTAACATTTTTGGCTCTATACACCACCACAATGGATTTGAAATGAAACGAACAAGATGGGCTTTAACTGCAGACTGTCAGCTTTAATTTGAGGGTATTTACATCCAAATCAGGTGAACAGTGTAGGAAATACAACAGTTTGCATATGTGCCTCCCACTTGTTAAGGGACCAAAAGTAATGGGACAATTGAGTTCTCAGCTGCTCCATGGCCAGGTGTGTGTTATTCCCTCATTATCCCCAATTACAATGAGCAGATAAAAGGTCCAGAGTTCATTTCAAGTGTACTATTTGCATTTGGAATCTGTTGCTGTCAACTCTCAAGATGAGATCCAAAGAGCTGTCACTATCAGTGAAGCAAGCCATCATTAGGCTGAAAAAACAAAAACAAACCCATCAGAGAGATAGCAAAAACATTAGGCGTGGCCAAAACAACTGTTTGGAACATTCTTAAAAAGAAGGAACGCAACGGTGAGCTCAGCAACACCAAAAGACCCGGAAGACCACGGAAAACAACTGTGGTGGATGACCGAAGAATTCTTTCCCTGGTGAAGAAAACACCCTTCACAACAGTTGGCCAGATCAAGAACACTCTCCAGGAGGTAGGTGTATGTGTGTCAAAGTCAACAATCAAGAGAAGACTTCACCAGAGTGAATACAGAGGGTTCACCACAAGATGTAAACCATTGGTGAGCCTCAAAAACAGGAAGGCCAGATTAGAGTTTGCCAAACGACATCTAAAAAAAGCCTTCACAGTTCTGGAACAACATCCTATGGACAGATGAGACCGAGATCAACTTGTACCAGAGTGATGGGAAGAGAGGAGTATGGAGAAGGAAAGGAACTGCTCATGATCCTAAGCATACCACCTCATCAGTGAAGCATGGTGGTGGTAGTGTCATGGCGTGGGCATGTATGGCTGCCAATGGAACTGCTTCTCTTGTATTTACTGATTATGTGACTGCTGACAAAAGCAGCAGGATGAATTCTGAAGTGTGTTTCGGGAATATTATCTGCTCATATTCAGCCAAATGCTTCACAACTCATTGGACGCTTCACAGTGCAGATGGACAATGACCCAAAGCATACTGCAAGTGGAAAAAGCAACCAAAGAGTTTTTTAAGGGAAAGTTTGATTTATGATTATTCTGTCCCATTACTTTTGGTCCCTTAACAAGTGGAAAGCACATACTTTAGAGTACTTAATCTATTGTGGATTACTAAAATTGCGTAAATCGCAAACTGTTTTCCTGGCATTGGATGCTGAAAAGGCATTCGATAGAGTTCATTGGCAGTATCTCGACTCCACTCTTTGCAGTTTTGGTATCAATGGATATATCAAATCGGCCATATTGGCATTATATACAGTGCCCTCCGCACAAGTTTTTACGTCCAATGCCTTGTCAGACCCCTTTCTTATCACAAATGGACCCAGACAGGGATGCCCCTTTTCCCTCTAGTGATGGAACCCTTAGTGACTTCAATTAGAGCGAACCCCTTGCTCTCGGGTATACGAACTGCAAATGTCGCTCACAAAATTGGTCTCTTCGCCAATGATGTGATACTTACCATAACGGATCCATTGACTTCCTTAACAGCATCCACTGACTGCTTCCTTAACAGCAGTCTCCTCTACATTCCAAATGTTTGGCGACATCTACTACAAACTCAATGTTACTAAATCCTGTGCACTCCCTGTAAATATACCAAAAGGTCTTAAAAATAAATTTTTGTATAGCTGGTCCACAACGCGTCTGGAATATCTGGGTATCCGGGCGTCTTCTTCTTCTAGCATGTTCAAGGCTAATTATGAGGAACTATACAAGGTGATCTTAACAGATCTATTAGCAATTGGTAAACATGAGCTTTCGTGGTTGGGCAGAATAGCGGCTTTATGATGTTGATCCTGCCCAAACCTTTATCCTATTTTAGCACAATCCCGATACTCATCCCTCATTCTTACTTTAGTAAACTAGATATTGCATTGAGAAAATTTGTTTGGGGGGAGGAGGCCCAGAGTCCCTGTTTTCGCCTCTCATTAAAGCATAAATCTAGGGGGGTAGAGGTCTCCCTCAACTTCAGTACTGATTGACCCAATCGGATAAGTTATGGGTACAAATAGAGAAAAGTTAATTTCCGGCTGGAGATCTTCAGGCTCTACTACTTGCGAAAACCATTTCCCCGAAATTCATACCTACCTTCCTTCTGTCTCTGCATCATTGAGTGCATGGGTAATAGGATTATCTAAATCTGCCCCTTCTACCCCGAAGGTTAAGCTAGACATACCGTTAACCTATGAACACCATATTCCCAATCTTACTGTAAAATCCCTGAGAGATGTGGGCTATTTCAAGTTTACCGACATCCATGCTTCTCAAGTGCAGGGCAATATATACCCATTTCTTCAGATTAGGGCCTACAGGGGCACCAATTATAACTTGGATGTAGAAGTGGATGCATTCATTATCAAACCCTTCTGGGCTAAAAAAGGGCATTTCATGGTTTTATAGATTTTTGCAGTATGATTCTGACAATTCCGTGATAGCATGCGTTGAGAAGTGGGAAAGGGAGCTGGGGAGAACCTTCACTCAGGAAGAGTGGCAAGCAGCTTGGTCTTGCAATATCAGCCTTTCGAAGTGTACTAACCACTGGGATAGCTCTCTTAAGATCCTGTATTGCAGCCATCTCACCCCATATAAAATAGCAAAAAGTTACCCCGATGCATCACCTTCCTGTTGGAGGGCTTGTTGTGAGGTTGGAAGCTTACTGCACGTTTTGTGGGAATGTGCAAATATACAGGAATTTTGGAGTTATGTTTTTGCTTTAATCTCTCGGGTGTCAGGAGTACAGACGAATCCCAATCCTCATCTAGCATTACTAAATATTACACTGAATTTATTTTCTGCTCAATTTCAAACAATTATTGCCCACATTCTAATAGCTGCTCGGCTAACTATTGCTAAAGCGTGGAAATCTTCTACATCCCTTCCTATTCGGGAGGTGATTAATAGAGTACACTCCCACTATCTGTATGAGAGAGCCTACACACTTTCAAATCACACTATACGGGTATTTGAAGTTAAATGGCAACGTTGGAACACTTTATTCAAAATCTCTGATCTATAAGAGTAAGGGACCATATGGCAAGGATGTTGGGAGTCTGGTTGAATTCTGTTGGATATGCTGAACCTCTATTTTTCTTTTGATCTTTTCCTCTTTTCATTCCTTTTCTCTGTTTGTCTTTTTTTTCATTTTTGTTGTATTCTATTCGACTGTATTTGCAATGGATAAAATTTTGTCCCATATGTATCACATGTGCCAGCTTGGATAATGAAGTGTGCATCCCTATATTCTGGTTTATATATCAGATAACGTTCTGTAAATGCTGAATGTACTCTGCATAATTTGGACAATGTGTGATGTTCCTAAGGCTACTGTTACAGCCGGCTACTTTTTTCCCCGTTATTGACTTGAAAAACCTTAATTAAAAAAAAAAAAGTTGAAAGAAAACTGCACATATCAGAACTACTTAGCATATTCAGGTGAATTACACCTTGTTTGTTTCAGGATAAATTATGTCGTCATTTAGTGGTAAATAGCAATAGGTGCATTGCTGCAGTTACTTACTTCCATCCTACCTAAAACACACTGACCATATAAACACACACACACAAATATTTACACAGTAGTAGGGCCACCAGCACTGTGCCTGGCCAATGCGAGCTTAGTAGGGGCCACTGGTGCTGTGTCTGGCATACAAGCAGTAGGGACTTAAGCCTTTCTGAAATTTGGTTTATGCAAAAGTACTGTGCTTTGTAGATTAAGCACAGTACTGTGCATGTGCTGGCTAGACACAATGTCATCGGCCTCTTACTGCCTGTGTTCCGACCAGTCACAGCACCAGACTTCAGAAAGACAGTAACACCTACTGCGCATGCACCAGCAAAACAATGCCAAAGCCCCGAATTGTGCATAGAACCAAAATACTGAATAGCAGTTGTCTTCTACTACACATGCTCCAGTCAGGCAGAGAGCTGGCGCCCCCTACTGTACAAGCATCCCACATGCATGACACCATGCAACAAGATCATGCATCTTGGGTTATCAACTGGGAGACACTGGAGACCAAGAAGACACTTTTTAGAAGGAAACTCAACTGGTGGAAACTTTCATAGGCTTGTAATATTGTAAAGACTGTACAAAACTAGGAATGGGAAGGTATGGTGACATAGGCTATGCAGCAACATTTATTAGTTTACTTTTGCTAGAGGGATTCATATCACTTTGAGTAAGGCAAGGTGTAATCAGAATTTAATTTACTCTTATCTGACTGAAATCTGATTGGTTCCTAGGAGTTATTGTAATTTTCATTTTGCAAAGCTTAACTAACTATGGCCAGCAATTGAAGATATTTGTGAGCAAGATATTTTTGAAGCACTGTCGCCAGGTACTCTGTTCCGATTACAGTCCCTGAAGTCACCGTGTAATTAACCACCTCATGATTACAAATCTAATCAACAACTGGCAGGATATCTCAAGGGCAAAGAACTCACCAACAAGGTGTTTAATTAATCTGGCAAATTCCAGGATAGTGTGTTCTTCCGGGTTCCCCTGTGGAAGAGATGAAGGAAGATTACAGCATTAATTGCAAATTGCAGTTATTAGTGTCTCCACTGCTCTGTTGAATGCAAAATTAGGCACCTTGCTGTCAAACGTTTCTGATCTCCCACAAACAAACATGTTTTTGTTTTAGAACATTTATTTAAATTTGGTGACTTACAGTGGGGAAAATTATTATTTGATCTCCTGCAGATTTTGTAAGTTTGCCTACTTACAAAGAAATGAAGGGTCATCATAGGTGTATTTTAAATGAAAGACAAGGAATATCAACCAAAAATTCAGAAAAAACACGATACAAATGTTATAAATTGAGTTGTAGTTCAGTGAGTAAAATAAGTATTTGATCCCCAAACAAAACATGACTTAGTACTTGGTGGAGAAACCCTTGTTGGCAAGCACAGAGGTAAGACGTCTCTTGTAGTTAGTTACCAGGTTTGCCCACATCTCAGGAGGGATTCTGGTCCACTCTTCTTTACAGATCTTCTCTAAATCCTTAAAGTATCTTGGCTGTCACTAGGCAAGTTTCAGCTCCCTCCATACATTTTCTAAAGGATTAAGGTCTGGAGACTGGCTAGGCCACTCCATGACCTTAATGTGCTTCTTCTTGAGCCACTTTTTTGCCTTGACAGCATGTTTTGGGTCATTGCCATGCTGGAAGACCAATCCACAACCCATCTTCAATGTTCTGGTTGAGGGAAGAAGGTTCTCATCCAAGATTTTACAATACATGGCCCCGTCCATTGGCCCCTCAATAAAGCAAAGTCAGCCTGTACCTTTAAAAGAGAAACAGCCCCAAAACATAATGTTTCCACCTCCATGCTTGACTGTAGGGATCGTATTCTTAGGGTCATAGTCAGCATTTTTCTACCTCCAAACACAGCGAGTCGAGTTAATGCCAAAGAGCTCAATTTTGATCTCATCTGACCACAGCACTTTTTCCCAATCCTCTGAATCATTTAGATGTTCATTGGCAGACTTCAGATGGGTCTGTACATGTGCCTTCTCAAGGAGGGGGGCCTTGTGGGCGCTGCTGGATTTCAATCCATGGTGGCGTATTGTGTTACCAATGGTTTGTTGACTGTGGTCCTAACTGCCTTGAGATCATTCACAAGCTCCTCCCGTGTAGTTCTGGACTGATCCCTCACTTTTCTCATGATCATGCTTACCCTATGAGACAAAATCTTGCATGGAAGTTCCAGACCAAGGGCGATTAATGGTTTTGTATTTCTTCCATTTGCGAATATTCGCTCCAACAGTTGTCTCCTTCTCACCAAGCTTCTTGCAGGTGGCCTTGTAGCCCATTCTAGCCTCGTGCAGGTCTACAATCTTGTTCCTGGTAGTGAGGTTTGAATGGAACAGATTCTGTGGACAGGTGCATTCATACAGATAACGAGTTGTCATGGAACACCTTCTTAAATTGACAGGAATAATCTGTGTACTACAATCAAATTTTTTATCATGTGTTTTTTTTTTCTGGATTTTTTGTTGATAAAAATTATAGATCCTTTGATTCTTTGTAAGTGGGCAAACTTACAAAATATTCAGGTGATCAAATAATTATTTTCTCCGCTGTATAAGAGTTCCAGGATAAAATCTCAGGGCACTTGTGTCAGGAAACAAATTTAAAAAGCTAGTGTAAAGTTTCTGTCAAATCTCCACTACTGTAATGTAGATCCAACCATCCCTAAAAACAGTCAGATACTGCTCTGTATAGGATATTTACCTATTTATTTATTACAGGTACTCATATAGTGCTGGCAACTTACACAGCGCTTTACATATATACAGTATTGTACATTCACATCAGTCCCTAACCCTCAAGGGGTGTACAATCTAAGGTCCCTAACTCACATTCATACATACACATACTAGGGCCAATTTAGACAGGATCCAATTAACCTACCAGCAGGTCTTTGAAGTGTGGGAGGAAACCGAACCAGAGTACCAGGAGGAAAAACCCACCAGGTACAGGGAGAACATGCAAACTCCAGGCAGGTGGTGCCATGGTTGGGAGTCGAACCAACGACCACAGTACTGCCAGGCGGAAGTGCTAATCATTTAGCCACTGTGCTGCCCAATATTTGTGCTGACCTATATTTGCATAACTCTTATTTGAGCTGTAAAGACTGACCTGCTGGTCATACAGCACAAGGGAACATACAATGTGACATAGAACAGATAAAAAAAAGTGACAGATGAAGTGGACTCACCAGATTAACAGGGCTGCTGACATTACTGTTCATTAAAGCTACAAGTCCATTAACCAAGTCACTGGAAGAGAAAAGGTGTGGTTCTTTATTTTGTTGAAGACTATACAGCACATGCAAGTGTAAACCTACTGAAAAAGTGGTAAAATTCCTAAGGAAAAGGAGTGGGGAAGCCTAGGAGATTTACTACCACTACTACTTTTTCTCTTAAAATGGAAAACATAAAAAGGAAAAAAAAAAGGCTGTGGGAAAACTGGAAAATGCTTTTTATTTATGTTTGGTTTGTGATTCTGATTCATAGTCTGCTGAGCCAACCCTTCTGAAGAATTTAAAGAATAAATGAACAGGACCCAAAAAGGTAACAGCAGCACTGGACGTTGAATGTACACACAAAACATATGGTGTGAAAGATTCATATTTTATACAAAAGCCAACAATAATTACAAACAATAACCAGGGCAGTGAAAAGATAAAGGTTATAGAGATTTAATGCTTGGCTTCAAAGTGGTCACTAAAATGGCTTCCATGCAGTACCAAAACTTAAACAAAACAAGCCATACTGATGAAATGTCCACAATGTCTGTGGAGTACAGCACACAAAATATTAACACAAGTACTGTTTTTTACATACTTTCTAAGGCCCCTGGCTGCGTGGCATAAGCAGGTGGTTGAGGTGAGGTTTTAAAACCTGGAAATGGCAGCCAGATGCCCCCATACACACTGTTGATACTGCCTGCCCATGTACCCCAAAGAACTTAATGGGGCCACGCTGCAACCACATCTGATAGACACAGTTGTGGCACTGTAAACAGGGATTTCAGTGTGAAATCTCTATTCAAACAGCTGTATGGCAGAAGGCATATCACCTCCCGATTGCCTGCTAACCATGGGCCTGCTGCTGCAGACAAAACAATCCAACACGGGTCATGAGTCAGCAGCACTGTCCATGTGAAAGCAGGCTAACTCATTATTTAAAACCTAAAAGCATGTTTGCACCAATAACATACACTAACATGCTGTAAACAGTGCAATGCATTGTGACATTTCATTCGGTTTGATTGGCTGCAACACACCAAGGCGCACTAAAAAAGGCTGTATTCTGTCTGTGCCTGACATGAACCTAGCCTGACCTGTATGTGGAGGAGTTTGCTACCTTTGCTGTATATGCGCATTGTACATGCGCTTCTGATGAGTGCATTGTAAAGAAGTCACTTTCACGAATTCACTTATCACTGGAAGTCATGTTTCTTATTGGGACTCATTTTATGTGGTCTTTCATTGGACTCTTTATTCTGCATTAATTTATCATACTTGCATATTTATTTCACTACAGGCACTATGTAGTCACTATTGCACAGTTGGTGGCGTAACGCGTGGGGGCGGAGTCTAGTGAAGTCATTACCGGATTTTTACACAGTAGGAGTTTTGAATTGCAAATCGATATGTTACTGCTTCTATCATGTGAGTGACACTGGAATTATTTTATGTGGAATTAAAACAGTATTACACTATGGAAGATGTTCTCTGTTCTTTCTATATGTGGAGTAAAGCTGAGAAGAGTCCCGTTTTATGCTGTCATTGAAGGAGTGCCTGTCATCAGTTCTCTGCTGTCATCTAGAGCATAGTTTTGGAATTACCATGCTTGGTTGACCTGTATTAATTTATGGGTCCACAGTAGGAGGTAAGCGGCCATCCATATATATTTTTAGGTTGAGGAACATTGAGTTAAGGTGGAGCACATCGTAGTTATTCTTCATCATTCAAGCACCTTATTTGATTTTCACAATTCAAGCACTTTATATGTATATTTCATATTTTGATTGAACTATCACATTTGAATCTGTTTATGGACTATTATGTCTATATGAGTTAGCGCAACAATATTTATGTATGGTTTACTATTGCACTGTTACTTCAGTATTCCACTTTATCCATAATATTATTCATTTATGTCACTTTAGCGCCAACCAGTGTGCTTCACTCTGATTGCATTATTTGTTGCCTATACGCTTTTCAATCACCTTCATTTGCTTAGATCACGTTTATTCTTTTGGATGTTCAGCTTAGTGTTTATTTTTATTAGCACTGCACCTTTACTACACACATTATACCATTGAGGATACAGAGGGTGGTCCTTTTGTGCTAGCGGCTTATTTTTTTCCCTGTGCACTCACTGACACCTGACACCTTTCACTAAAAAAGGCTGCTGATCAGTTTTTCTTCAGTTTTTTAGCTAAAAAAAAAAAAGCAGATGAAAAATGTATGATCATAAAATCCTTTGGAATTCTTCACACTAGTCATGTTGCGGGTTCATTGCATTATATAAAAGTCCTGCTTGGTGCATTTTTCGCACATGTTTAGCAGCAAAAACACATCTCTCCACTGAAATGAATGCTGAACGCATAAAAAAATGCACCTGCAATTTTTTTTTTTTTTTTTTAGGTACAAAACCCAACAGTAATGTGGCAAAAAAGCATATGTGTTTTTACTGCATTTTGCAACTGAGCAGTGTGAAAGTAACTTAAGGTGGTGTAAACTGCCATGACAGAGAACACGCAGGCCTTGTCTATGTGTGGGTAAGGCTGCCCAGCACATATGTCAACAAACCCTAAAACCTATAGGAACTCCCTCCTTTCAAAAAAAAAAATAAATAAAAATTAATGTATTATTTTAACAGATGCGATCCTCTCCTAACAATTCCAAAAAAAACCCACACTACTACTGGTAATAGAAATATAGTAACAGTGTAACCAACAAATCTTTTTTGTTCACAAACATATGTCTGCATTGATTTAAAAATGGTTTAGAAAAGCTAAAAACCAACTGTAATGTTTAAGTACAGTGGGGTTTGTCAGGTCCAGGCAAAACACATATCTACACTGTATGCAGCTTCTAAGTTAATTAAAAAGCAGTGCAATCCATTATGTTAGAGCAAAAGTGCAAGTGCATTTCCCAACCATGGTACAAGAGACAAGAGTAATGGTAAAATCAGCCTACCTGACATACTGAAAAGCTCTGGTTTGAGATCCGGATCCGTATACCTATTATAACAAAAACTACAATTATAACAGCACTCCAGAATCACTTGAACAGTAACATTCACATCTGGTTAGTTTGACATTTTAAAAAGGACAGCATTTTGACCACAAGAGGGAGACATTACATAGAAATAGCCCATTTATAACCTAGAGCAGTGATGGCGAACCATTTTGAGCCCGAGTGCCCAAACTGCAACCCAAAACCAACTTATTTCTTTCAAAGTGCCAACACTGCAATGAAACCTGAATATCGAGCTTTTGGTTTAGAAAAAACAACTCGTACAGTAGTGCAAACTAATTAACAGTACAGGGACGACCAGAGACTGCGGACACAGTACAGGGACGACCAGAGACTGCGGACACAGTACAGGGACGACCAGAGACTGCGGACACAGTACAGGGACGACCAGAGACTGCGGACACAGTACAGGGACGACCAGAGACTGCGGACACAGTACAGGGACGACCAGAGACTGCGGACACAGTACAGGGACGACCAGAGACTGCGGACACAGTACAGGGACGACCAGAGACTGCGGACACAGTACAGGGACGACCAGAGACTGCGGACACAGTACAGGGACGACCAGAGACTGCGGACACAGTACAGGGACCAGAGACCAGAGACTGCGGACACAGTACAGGGACGACCAGAGACTGCGGACACAGTACAGGGACGACCAGAGACTGCGGACACAGTACAGGGACGACCAGAGACTGCGGACACAGTACAGGGACGACCAGAGACTGCGGACACAGTACAGGGACGACCAGAGACTGCGGACACAGTACAGGGATGACCAGAGACTGCGGAAAGTACAGGAGATGACCAGAGACTGCGGACATAGTACAGGAGATGACCAGAGACTGCGGACACAGTACAGGGATGACCAGAGACTGCGGACAGTACAGGGATGACCAGAGACTGCGGACACAGTACAGGGATGACCAGAGACTGCGGACACAGTACAGGGATGACCAGAGACTGCGGACACAGTACAGGGATGACCAGAGACTGCGGACACAGTACAGGGATGACCAGAGACTGCGGACACAGTACAGGGATGACCAGAGACTGCGGACACACAGTACGGGATGACCAGAGACTGCGGACACAGCACAGGAGATGACCAGAGACTGCGGACAGCACAGGAGATGACCAGAGACTGCGGACAGCACAGGAGATGACCAGAGACTGCGGACAGTACAGGGATGACCAGAGACTGCGGACAGCACAGGGATGACCAGAGACTGCGACTGCGGACAGTACAGGAGATGACAGGGAACCTGCGGAGACTGCGGACTGCGGACAGTACAGGAGATGACCAGAGACTGCGGACAGCACAGGGATGACCAGAGACTGCGGACAGCACAGGGATGACCAGAGACTGCGGACACAGGGATGCAGACAGGGATGACCAGAGACTGCGGACAGCACAGGGATGACCAGAGACTGCGGACAGCACAGGGATGACCAGAGACTGCGGACAGCACAGGGATGACCAGAGACTGCGGACAGCACAGGGATGACCAGAGACTGCGGACAGCACAGGGATGACCAGAGACTGCGGACAGCACAGGGATGACCAGAGACTGCGGACAGCACAGGGATGACCAGAGACTGCGGACAGCACAGGGATGACCAGAGACTGCGGACAGCACAGGGATGACCAGAGACTGCGGACAGCACAGGGATGACCAGAGACTGCGGACAGCACAGGGATGACCAGAGACTGCGGACAGCACAGGGGGATGACCAGAGACTGCGGACAGCACAGGGATGACCAGAGACTGCGGACAGCACAGGGATGACCAGAGACTGCGGACAGCACAGGGATGACCAGAGACTGCGGACAGCACAGGGATGACCAGAGACTGCGGACAGCACAGGGATGACCAGAGACTGCGGACAGCACAGGGATGACTGCTGACCTTTGGGGAGGGAGGGGGAGCGGGTACCTGAATTTGACAGGTACCCGCTCTTACTTCCGCAGAGTTTTTTTATTTATCTTACCTGTTCCTTTATCCAGCCGCGCGTTGTCTTCCCGGCTTCTGTAGTGTGGGCGCTCGTCGGACAGCCGGATGCCCAGTGCGCATGCGCATGCGCGTGATTGGTCCGGCGGCTTCTGGGATCTGTCATGTGTCCCAGGTACCGCCTTACCATTCACAAAGAGCACTGCTTCTTGTGCATGCGCACTTGGGACCCGGCTGTCACGCACACTACAGCCGGGAAGACAGCGCGCCGCTGGATTCTCCTGGCGTGCCCACAGATAAGGCTCGGCGTGCCGGCTGTGGCACGCGTGCCACGGGTTCGCCATCACTGACCTAGAGCAATGTTTCTCAACCTTTTTTTCAGTCAAGACATCCTTTAATCCAAAATGTAAAAACTAAACTAATAGTTTTACATAACACAGAAATATTAACACCTAGGACACCCAGAGTTAGAGATTGCAAAGCAAACATGCCTTTGCACACCGATACTGACTAGAATTCAGTTTCTCTTTTCCCTCAGTTTTTCCTTCCTCACTCAGCGAATGTGACCTCAGTGCTAATGGTGTGGGGCAGGGGAGAGGCAAACAAGGATGCTGTGTCCAACGTCCTTTTTTTATCAACCGATGACATCATTGGTTGTTAGGACACTGGTGGCTAGAATGTTGTAATGGTGCACAATGAAAACCTGTGGCTTCATGTAGCTAAAAAGGCAGGCTTGATCCACCTGCTGGTTTGTATACAATTTGTAGGCATTTTGCTAAGGCACCCCTGAAGAAACCTGAAGGCACTCCGGGGTGCCTGGGCACCCTGGTTGAAAAGGGCTGACCTACACAATGAGCTTTATAAAATGCTTTCTCCCTTCCCCACCAAAGCAGTCTGATGAGAACCTGATGACTACTTCTGAAAATGATATTTCCCTAGTTGTAGCACTAACTCACTTAATCAATGCCCCAGAATAAAGTGTAGACATGAGGAAGTTGCAAAGTTTAAAGGCTTTATTTGTACCATATTACTAACTATTAAACCTCGAGTATCAGCGTGAAAGCCAGACAACTAGTATTTGAAGGAGATGCCAACATTAGCAGCCTCTTTTTCCCCTCCTTGAAAAGAATGGGTCGCTCTCAGGAACTCCGTGAATTCAAGCGTGGTACCGTGATAGGTTGCTTCCTGTGCAATAAGTCCATCCAATTTCCTTGCTACTAAATATTCCACGGTCAACTTTTTAGTGGTATTCTAACAAAGTGGAAGCAACTGGGAACAACAGGAACTCAGCCACAAAGTGGTAGGCCACGTAAAAAAAAAAAATGATAGAACAGGGTAAGCGCATGCTGAAAAGCACAGTGCGCAGAAGTCGCCAACTGTTTGCAGAATCAATAGCTAAAGACCTCCAAACTTCATGTGGCCTTCAGATTAGCACAACAACAGTGTGTAGAGCAGTGGAGATGTGTTCTGTGAAGTGACAAATCACACTTCTCTGTCTGGCAATCCAATAGACATGTCTGGGTTTGGCTGGTTGCCAGGAGAAAACAGTACTTGCCTGACTGCATTGTGCAAAGTGTAAAGTTTGGTGGAGGGGGGATTATGGTGTGGGGTTGTTTTTCAGGGGTTGGGCTTGGCCCCTTAGTTCCAGTGAAGGGAACTCTTAAGGCATCAGCATACCAAGACATTTTGGACAATTTCATGCTCTCAACTTTGTGGGAACAGTTTGGTGATGGCCCCTTCCTGTTCCAACATGACTGCGCACCAGTACACAAAGCAAGGTCCATAAAGACATGGATGAGCAAGTTTGGGGTGGAGGAACTTGACTGGCCTGCACAGTCCTGACTTCAACCCGAGAGAACACCTTGGGGATGAATTAAAGTGGAGACTGCGAGCCAGGTCTTCTCGTCCGACATCAGGGTCTGACCTCACAAATGCACTTCTAGAAGAATGATCAAACATTCCCATAGACACACTCCTAAACATTGTGGACAGCCTTCCCAGAAGAGCTGAAGCTGTTATGGCTGCAAAGGGTGGGCCAACACAATATTGAACCCTACGGACTAAGACTGGAATGCCATTAAAAGTTCATGTGCGTGTAAAGGCGTCCCAATACTTTTGGCAATATAGTGTATGTATACAGTTAGGTCCATATATATTTGGACAAAGGCACAATTTTTGTTTATTTCAGGTATTTACCAAAACATATTCAAGCTATAGTTAAATAATGGATATGGGCTAAAAGTGCACACTCTCGGGTTTAATTTGAGGGTATGTACATCCAAATTGGAAGATGTATTTAGGAATTACAGCTCTTAAGAGTCGCCATCCTCCCTTTTTCAAGGGACCAAAAGTAATTGGACATTCGAAATCAAAAGCTGTTTCATGGCCAGGTGTGGGCTACTCCATTAAGTCTTCATCAATTAAGTAGGTAAAAATTCTGGAGTTTATTCTAAGTGTGGTATTTGCATTTGGAATCTATTGCTGTGAACTTGCATCATGCGTACAAAGGAGCTATCCATGCAAGTGAAACAGGCCATTGTACGGCTTCAAAAACAAAACAAATCCATCAGAGATAGCAGCAACATTAGGAGTGGCCAAATCAACAGTTTGGTACATTCTGAGGAAAGAAGAAAGCACTGGTGAGCTCAGCAACATAAAAAGGCATGGACATCCATGGATGACCACAGGATCCTCCCTCTCTATGGTAAAGGAAAATCCATTCACAACATCCAGACAAGTGAAGGACACTCTCCAGGAGGTGGGTGAAATTGTCAAAGTCTACAATCAAGAGAAGACTTCACGAGAGCAAATACAGAGGGTTCACCACAAAGTGCAAACCATTCATAAGCCTGAAGAACAGAAAATCCAGATTAGACTGTGCCAAAAAACATCCAAAAAAGCCAGACCAGTTCTGGAAAAGCATTCTTTGGACGGATGAAACTAAGATGAATCTGTACCAGAATGACGGGAAGAAAAAAGTGTGGAGAAGGCTTGGAACAATTCATGATCCAAAACACACAACGTCATCTGTAAAACTTGGTGGAGGCAGTGTGATGGCATGGGCATGCATGGCTTCCAGTGGCACTGGGTCATTGGTGTTTTTGATTATGTGACAGAAGACAGAAGCAGCCGGATGAATTCTGCAGTGTTTAGAGATATACTGTCAGCCCAGATTCAGCCAAATGCAGCAAAGTTGATTGGATGGCACTTCACAGTACAGATGGAGAATGATCCAAAAACGCACTGCAAAAGCAACCCAGGAGCTTTTGAAGGAAAAGAAGTGAATTATTTTGCAATGGCTGAGTCATTCGCCTGATCTCAACTCAATTGAGCATGCGTTTCACTTGCTGAAGGCAAAACTAAAAAGGCAGAAAAACCCACAAACAAAGACTAACACCCAACAAACTAAAAGACAGCTGCAGTTAGAGCCTGGAAAAGCATCAGAAAGAAGGAAACCCAGTCTTTGGTAATGTCCATGAGTTCCAGACTTCAGGCAGTAAAGGATTCTCAACAAAATATTAAAAATGAACATTTTATTATTGTTATATTCATTTGTCCAATTACATTTGAGCCCCTGAAAATGGGGGGACTGTGTATAAAAAGGTTTGCAGTTCTTGATATTTATGTTCAACCCCTTGAATTAAAGCTGAAAATTAATTTGGATTGTTTCGTTTTAATTTATTCTGGTGGCATCCAGAGCCAAAAGTATGAAAATTGTGCCTGTGTCCAAATATATATGGACCCAAGTGTATATTCAATGGGGGTAAAGATATTTACTCACTGCAAACATAGGCTGTACTAATGGTTGTGCTTTGGTGCTACCTCCCACAATAGAAGTCTACGGGACAGCTGCTTCACACAAACAATGCAAGTCCTGTATGATGGATATCTTGACCATTATTAATTACAGAGTTATTACTCTACAATAACATGGATGAGCTAGGATGAAAAAAGGATGAGGAGGTCATATAAAAAACCGACAAATACAAACATGTATGCTATGCACAACGTACACAAGGAGAGTTTAGGCAAGTGATCAAAAAAGCACTTTTGAAACACTGAAATAGTTTTTTTTAGGAAGAAAGAGTTAAACACCTTAAAGCGAACCTGTCACTAAAAAAACAAAACAAAAAAACAAAACAAACAGACAGCAGCACAGTGTAAAAGAACATGCTGAAGTGCGCCTAAAGATTTCCTATTTAACTATACATGTAGAGCTTTTCTTATACTTTCACCAGGGGCGGACTTGTCCATTTGGAAACTCGGGCACTGCCCGAGGGCCCGGGGTCAGTAGGGGGCCCCATGAGATGCCCCTGGTACCTTTTTAATAGGCTTTTTTGAGTTTGGGCAAGGACACAGGGGCCCATGATCCCCTATTGCCCAGGGGCCCCATGAGTTTGTCAGTCCGCCCCTGACTTTCACTGAATAAGCCCACAAGTACATGCTTAAAGTTCCCATTTTGGAAATAGTGCTTTGCTCATTGCACTCTTTAAGCCCACCAAAACAAGTTTAAAGGTACTGCTTGGCATACCCAGTGCAGTAATCCACATCAACCAAATGTCACTTTTCTGAGGACAAACTGGTACAAGATTAAGTCTCATTGCTTGTAATCATGCAATTTGCACTTCGTGGTTTGTTCACTGTACTGTTTTACAGGATAAGACATTATCATTTCAATTAAATGTAAAGTGGAAATAAACCTTGTTTTTTCACGTTTTACCTACAGGTAAGCCTTTAATAAGGCATACCTTGTAGGTACTGTAAATATCTCCTAAACATGAACTGTATAGGAGGTGTTTACTGTGGCAACGCCGTGTGATGCTACCCACGCATGCGCACTGCACTCTCAATGAATGGCGTGCTGTCCATTGAGAGCCGTGCCAAGGCCGAGACTCCTGCATACATACACGGGTGTGACATTATCAGCGGTTCTGACAGTCAAACGGCCGCTGCTCGCACACCCAAAAGGAAGCCTTAGAGAGTCATGACAGTGCTCTGCTGAAGGGCTTCGTTTTCAGGTAGGTCTTTCATAATGTGTGTGTATGCGATGAACTGAACAGATGTGAGTAGCAAGAAGACATTGTACAACCACTTAAAAAGGAATAGTATGGGTATTAGAAGTAAGGGAACTTGCATGTACATTAAATAACCATTTTCCAAAATTACATTTATTTCTGCCAAACTAAGTAATGCGGCTGGACTGCAAATTTGGCAACATAAGACGTAAAACAGTGGGCTTCAAGTATCTGTTCATTAACAGAAGGACCATTAAAAGTAGTGTTCATAATGCTTGGATGGTCGCCCTACAATTGGTGCACAATATTTTACGAAGGGAACAGAGGATTTGTCCAACAATTTTGGTTTCATTGTATTCAGAAGCAAACTGACAGCTGCAATATTAGGGCTCATTTACAGAATGGGATTCATCGCTCAAATCTCAGAAAATTGCAAAATTTTAAAGCAAAAGTGGATAGCAACATCTGCTGGAACGGGCTCAGTTTAAGACAATTTCTGGTGTCTGGGTAAAAATCTTTCCTAGTTTTTTTTAATTTAATAAGCAAGTGTAAATATCTGTTAATCACGACAGCATAATGTACGTACAGTTAAAGGCTCTCCCTGAAGTGCCTGCAGGATAAAGTTACTGACGACTCTTCCATCATTCATGTGCATCCGGGGGCCAAATGTATTAAATATCCTAGCCACTCTGACCTCCACACCTTCCTGTTAACAATAAAGACAACAGTTCAGGGAAAGGGTGTAATTTCATAAACAGCTGTGTCCAATATAAAGAGAAATATGTATAAAACTTTAAAAGAAAAAAAAACAAAACACCAGACTCCTGTAAATGTAGCAATTTTTAAACCCAGTGTGCATGAGATCTAAAGATGCACAGCTATGCAGCATGAGAATGCATGTCAACCCATGTTAACCCTTTTGCTGCCAGGCCCTGTGCTCCAATTTTAAACTCAGGTGGCCAGACCATTTTTTCAATTTTTCCACTGCTTTATTATTTTTTACTTACAGCTTTCAGAGTTTGTAAAATAACCCCCCCCCCCCCCCCCCCCCCCAAACCATACATTTTTTGAAAGCACATGATCAGTAGAATAAAAGGAAGGTGCAAATGATTTTTAGGGCCCCATGTTATTTGCACAAATGTTTATCAAATCAGTATTTTCGCTAACAATACACTAAAATCATTATTAGCAGATACAAAAACAGCAGATTTTACAACATTACCGCTAAATTCCTACTGAATATAACAGTTTAACCTGTATTGAGTTACTAAATAACAAATATTTGCAAATTTTAAATTGCGCCTTTTTGTGACATGGAAGCAGTGTGCTTACAGTGACACACACACAGTTGACCCTTTGATTGCCCCACATGTTAACCCCTTCCTGCCCTGTGCTATTAGTACACTGTCAGTGCTTTTTATTAGCACGGATCACTGTATTGGTGTCACTGACATTCCCAGTGACACCAAGTCAGTTTGCTCCAGTATCAGATTACAAACCGCAGTCCGGCTAGAAGTCTCTGATCGCCGCAATCCCAGCATATATACCGTCATTTGTAAATGCTATAACTTTCACGTAAACCAGTTTACACGTATTGGGATTTTTTTTTTTCCCTGCAAAGACATGTAGCAGAATACATTTTGGCCTAAATTTATGATGAAATTTGATTTAACATTTTTTACTGTTTACATGCTTAATAGCAAAAAGTAAAAAATATTGTTTTACTTCTCAAAATTGTCGGGTGTTTTTTTCTAGAGCAAAAAAAAAAAAACAAACAAAAAAAAAAAAAAAAACACACAAGCGATCAAATACTACTGAAAGAAAGCACAAGTTGTGGGGGAAAAAAAAAAAGTACGTAAATTCAATGTACGTGTTGTATGACCACGGAATTGCCAGTTAAAGTAACGCAGCACTGTAATGCAAAAAATGGCCTGGTCAGGAAGGGGGGTAAATCCACTGGAGGGCAAGTGGTTAATTGCACACAAAACCACAACATAGCTTTAAAAAATTCCTACGAAGGCCTCGTTCCATGGGCTGTGCTAAAGCATACACCAATGAAGAGCTGTGTAACAGGTACATGGGGAAACAGGTGTTCTGTGCATCCCTGTGCAGGCAGTCCTATTCATGTCAACTGAGACGCAACAGCTGCAAAGACAGTTCTGACATTCATGCGGGTATAGATGCATGGCCCCAAACGCAGGCAGTATGAGTTCAGGAACATACAACCACATGGATGTCAAGTTTGGAGCAGTGGTTGTGTTGATGAAGCCACTGCGTCCCAATTGATATCGATGGGAATGCCTGCACCAGAATGCATGGAACACCTGTACATTCCTGTATAGTCGCTGTGTCCCAAATTACATCAATGGGACTGCCTGCATGGAGATGAAAGGAATACCTGTGAAGATTATTATTATTATACAGAATTTGTATAGCGCCAGCAGTTTGCGCAGCACTTTAGAAAATTAAGGTAGTCATTACAGTTACAATACAATTTGTTACAAGAGGAAACAGAGGTCCCTGCTTATTAGAGCTTACAATCTAGGAGGAAGGGTTGAGTGATACAAAAAGGTAATAGATGTGGGGGATGAGCTGATGAAGAAAATAAATAGCAGTTTACTAGTTAGAAGCAGGATAGGCTTCTTTAAAGAGAAAAGGTTTTCAGGGATCGTCTAAAGGTGGATAGATTAGGAGATAGCTGTACATATTTGGGTAGGGAGTTCCATAGAATGGGAGAAGCTCGGGAGAAGTCCTGGAGGTGAGCATGGGAGGTGGTGACACGAGAACTAAACAGTAAAAGGTCTTGGGAGGATCAAATAGAAGTGGTTTGGTTGATCTTTTGAGACCACGTTGGTGATGTAGCTGGGGGCAGATGGCTTTGTAAGTTGTTAGTATTTTATTCGTTGAGCGAGCGGAAGCCATTGGGAGGGATTGGCAGAGAGGGGTAGCAGACACTGAATGGTTGGTAAGGTGGATGAGCCTGGCAGCAGCATTCAAGATAGACTGGAGGGGGGATAGCCTATGTAAAGGTAAACCAATAAGGAGGAAGTTGCAGTAGTCGAGGTGAGAGATAACCAGGGAGTGAATTAGGAGCTTTGTGGTATCATTGGTTAAAAAGGGGCATATTCTGGAGATGTTGGAGGTTGAAGCGGCATGATTTGGACAGGGATTGGATGTGGGCCTGAAAGGATAGTTCAGAATCCAGGGTTACCCCTAGCACCCTGCCATGCGGGGATGGGTTGATAGTGGTGCTATTGATCCTGACCAAGAAATCAGGGGAAGAGGCACGTGGGGGAGGAAATATTATGAGCTCAGTTTTGGATAGATTGAGTTTTAGGAAGTGGAGTGACATCCAGTCTGATATGTCTGTTAGTAATACGTAATGATACGGATGGGAGTGAGCTGAGGAGTAGAGAGATAGATATGTGTTTCATTAGCATAGAAATGGTATTGGAAACCATGGGAATCTATCAGCTGACCCAAGGAAGAAGTGTAGATCAAGAATAGGAGAGGTCCAAGGACAGAACCTTGGGGGACTCCAACAGTAAGAGGAGGAGGTAGAGTTGTAAATGACACTGAAGGTGCGGTGAGATAGGCAAGATTCGAACCAATGGAGAGTACAGTCACGGAGACTAAAAGTAGAGTTTGAGGAGGAAGGGTTGGTAAACTGTGTCAGAGGCAGCGGAAAGGTCCAATAGTAAGAGTACAGAATAGTGGCCATTGTTTTTAGCGGTTAGTAAGTCGTTTGAGTTTTAGGAGAGCAGTTTTTGTGGAGTGTTGTGGGCAAAATCCAGACTGAAGGGGATTGAGAAGGTTATTCTCAATAAAGGTGGCAGCTCAGCCGGTTGTAGACTAGCTGTTCAAGGCGTTTGGAGGCAAAAGGGAGTAAGGAGACGGGTTTTAGGCTGCCAAGATTGGTGGGGTTCGGTGAGGCCTTTTAAGTATGGGGGTGACTAGCGTATGCTTTAGAGAATTGGGAAGATGCCAGTAGAAAGGGAGAGATTGAAGATATGAGTTAAAGAGTGAAGGATACAGCCAGAGGGTGACCGTAGTATTTACAAGGGGACAGGTGGTTAGGTGGGCTTTAAAGTTTACCAACCTCCTCTATAATAGCTGGGCTAAACAAGGGAAGTATAGATTGTGCAGGTGGACAAGGAGTGTAGGGTGAGGGAGATATCTGTACAGTGGAGATTTCATCACAAATTGTATCAGTCTTATTCTAGAAGTGATTAGCGATTTCCTGGGCAGGGAGTGAGTTAGTGAGTGGAGGTAAAGAAGGACGAAGTAGAGCGTTAAAAAGGTAGAAAAGAGTTGACAGGGATTGCAAAAGAAGGTGTTAATGAGAGTGATAAAATAGATCTGTTTGGCAATGTAAAGACAGGAATTGTATTTTTGAAGGGCAGCTTTATATTGCTCGAAGTTTTGCTGGGTCTTAGTCTTACGCCATAAATGCTCAAGAGCATGGCTACATTTTTTGAGGCATCTGGCATTGTCTGTTTGCCAAGTTGACCCAACTTGTAGCAATGCCATCCGCCCTGCAACCTCATGCAATGCAAGTGGTTGCAGCGCATTTGTTGGTAAAATGGAGTTACAACAGGCTGTGAGGAGGCGTCGCATAGTTTCCTCATCACCGGTCAGCAACAGGAGCACGATCCAACAATAGATAGGGCTTCAGAGGCAAGGAAGATTTAAACAGGCATGGCTAAATCTACCTTGTGTTTTTTTTTTTTACAACTCAATTTTTTTTGCACAGGCACATATTTAGTTTTAATTAAAAACAATGGGCGGGGGGGACTTTGGAGAGACATCAGGGGTCTAAATCTTTTGAAACAGAGAAAGGGACTGAAGACAGTCTATTCTCTGCAGCCTAAGTTACACTGTAAATGAATTAGATAGGAGTCTGTATAGAATCTTATTCATTCACAAAATGGAACATACTGTAGTACATTTACTATGTTTCCTTCACAAACACTGCTACACAGTAAATACAGTATACTATGTCGAAAGATGATGAAAGTTGATGAAAGAATACAGGAGCGATATGTAGTGATCGCTGACTGTATTCTTTCAAGAAAGGAAGGGGGCTGGTAAACACATGTTTACCAACCCCCCTGCTCTCAATCCTGACGATCTGACAGCATCTTCAGCGGGAGGGAGAGCTGGCTAGCAGCTGCATTGAGAGGGCACCCAACAATCAGGGAGGTGGGGGGCAGGAGGGAATCAGAATAATGGGGGTGAAGCAGCAGTGAAAAAGGACAGTTGGGGGGGTCAAATTAGTTGACAACACAGACAGGTAGAGAGGAGGGTGACACAGCACAGTAAAGCGGCAGCAGATGTGGGGAAGGGGGATACCCATCGGTTTGTTCAGCAGTGTCCATGATGAGCTTATAGCAGATGCGGAATGCAGCCAGCTAGAAGCAGTGCTGTAGGTCTGGCCATACAGGCCCGACACAAAAAGGGTTAATGCACATATTGCAGTGTGAAACCCTTGTAATGAAAAGGTTAGGGATTTTTTGCCATGTTTTTACTGCTGTGATTCCACTAGGGAAAACTTCCCCTCATATCCTCCCCCAGTTATATCAGGAGAAGAAATTAATTGAATGGGAGACACCATGGCATGAACGCACAAAATAAAAATTAAAGAAAAAAGAAAAAAAAAAAAAAAAAGGGGAGGTTTTAACCTTTCCATACTCAACTAAAAAAAAA